AAAGACCCTAAATGTTCATCAACTGATGAATGGATAAAGAAGATGTGGTTTATATATACAATGTAATACTACTTGGCAATGAGACAGAATGAAATCCTGCCATTTGCAGTAATGTGGATGGAACTGGAAGGTATTATGCTAAGTGAAATAACTCAGAGAAAGACAGGTATCGTATGTTTTCACTCATATGTGAACCTTGAGAAAGTTAACAGAAGAACATGGGGGAAGGAAAGGGGGAAAAAAGTAGTTACAAACACAGATGGTGGGAAGCAAACCATAAGAGACTCTTAAATACAGAGAACATACTGAGGGTTGATGGGTGGTGGGGGAGAGGGGAAAGTGGGTGATGGGCACTGAGGAGGGCACTTGTTGGGATGAGCACTGGGTGTTGTATGGAAGCCAATTTGACAATAAATTCTATTAAAAAGATAAAAATAAAAATAAATTAACATTAGGAAAAAAAAAGACGTGGGGTATACACACACACACACATACACACAGAGGAATATTACTTAGCTGTACAAGAAAATGAAATCTTGCCATTTGCAATGACATGGATGGAACTAGAAAGTATGCTAAGCAAAGTAAGTCAGTCAGAGAAAGATAAATTCATTTGATTTCACTCATATGTGGAACTTAAAAAACAACAAATGAGCAAAGGGAAAAAACAAGCGAGAGAGGCAAATCAAAAAACAGACTATATAGACTACAGAGAACAAACTATAGAGAACAAACTGCTCGTTACCAGGGGGAAGGTAGGGGTGGAGATGGGTGAAATTGATGGGGATTAAGGAGGGCACTTGTCGTGATGAGCACCGGGTGTTGTATGGAAATGTGGAATCACTATATATCTGAAACATAAACTGTATGTTAATTACACTGGAATTTAAATAAAACCAAGAAAAAAAATTAAAACTAAATTAAAAATTAAAATTAAATTATGGCAAATGGTATATAAAAAGCACTATTTAACTTAATGATATTTTTACCCTTTAGATTTTAATTATACGTTTTCTTTCACTTTATTTTTATACGTAAATATATGTTATGTTTTTACACTGGAAGTTAACTTGTGATCCAATTTTTGTGAATGAAAAACATATGCTAAATGTAGACTATGTCTGATACAGTTTTTCAGAAGCAGTTTCAAGGTAATATTAAACCGTTAATACATTTCTCAATGATAGAAGAGTTCTTAAAATAACTGTGATTTAGAAAAATCTGTAAATTCTATCTACTGAATCAATTAATTTTCAGTTTCTGAATTAAAAAAAAAATCCTCTTGAAATCCTTTTCAGAGAAAGAAAGCCATCATAAAACTTGAATTGCTCCTGAAAATCATAAATGAATGATACTCCCATTCATTATCAGTATTGAAACTGAGACTGCTTGAATTTTCAAAAAGAAACTTGCTAACATTTATTGTTAAAAATATTAATGTAAACTATATTCTTGGACTTCCTCAAATTTATTCTTTCCAGGTATGCAAACTTATTTATAATTACATTTACAAATGTACACAACTTTTTGTACATGTATACTATTTAAAATAATATAAACTTCACTTTTTTCCCATGCTTCAGAAATAATACATGCACACCCAGAGAAAAAAATTACAATTTTTTAATATAACACATTTAAAAATATCCCTGAGATTTCTGTTATACTGGTAAAGAAATTATTTCACAGCTCTGCATCATTGTGATGTATTGTAAGACGCCATTCATTCAGCACTTTATACATTCTGTATAATGAGGGGGAAGTAAAGGACCTTGAATTTCTTACCAATAAAAATTTCACTGTTGAATGATTTTGGTAATATATTGTAAACACTTATGCAAAAGACATAACTTTAGAAATGGACAATAGTATTTAGATGACCTATTATAAAGATGTTTTTTAGAGAAAGGAAAAGTTATATAAAACTTCAAATGGGTTTAGGTTATAATTAATATAATCTGACTTTCAGTTTTCTAACTTGGGGGCAAGAACAACAACTCCATTCAATGTCTTACTCTTAAATGACTGAAGTAACACTAGATACTATTACCATTTCACCTCTACTTAAACTGTTCTACATAAGGTTTATATGGGACTAAAAATGATTTTATTAAATAGCATCAGTAATATATTCTAGATAAATCTTTAACAATGGGGGGTACTAAATTTATGTGTACTGTTAACCCCTAATTAGATTGCCTAAGCTCTTATGTACTCTAAAATCTGCAAGTTTTCCATTCTACAAAAAGGTAAAAAATAGGCATAGTCATTGAATTTCTGAAAATACAGGCAGCAGTATAAAATATCCAACATCATGGTAGGGCACGGCCAAGAGGGAACATCTATCTTCACAATATTATAAACTACACACACACACACACACACACACACACACACACACACACACACTTCACTTTTAGCAATTGGGAATGAAGTTGATGAGGCTTGCCTTCTGTACACCATCATTCCTTTCTGTGATCTTTTTTCCCTGCAAGGAGCTTCTTTCAACAACTAGGCTTTGAGCCCACTCAATTTTCCATATTTGGAAAATGTTTTCTTGAAAGGACATGCTTAACTTATTTTAACATATAAATAATGAATAAGATTTTAATCACCCCTTGCAGAAAAGAGGTGTTTAATTTTTATTTGAGCCAGGGACAAATCCCTTTAAAACCAACTGATCTCTAATTGTGGAATTCTTTTAAGAATCAGTAGACATATGAGGGTGCGATTTGGAACGAAATGGGTTTACTTTCCTAATAAAATTTGAGTACTACGTAAAACACCATGCTAAGCAGCAGGCTGAAATTACATCACATAAACATTCACCTACACTACTTGAATATAGGGCTGCCTGTAAATCCTGTCACAATATACTCGCTGGCTGACTTACATTTCATCTTGCTTTATACTGTAATGTAATAGGTTCAGGGACTAAATATAAGCAGATACCTGAAGACAATACATTTTTTCCCACATAAATTCAGACACTGAAAATAAAAGGAAGGGATAGGACTAAAATATGTTGTTTAGCCTACTTTAGGAGTAATTTGATGAAGATCAGACAACATCATGGACACATGAGGGAGACAGGAGAGAAAGAGGTGCCGTTGAAAGTTGTCTTTGAACACCTCACTGATGTTTTAATGTGATTATGCACTCCACCTAGATCCTAGAGACCTAGAGGAAGTATAGCTAAAATTGATGAGAGTAGGTTCTGTGTGTTCTGCATTAAACCTCACAGTGCCAAGTGAAAAGCAAACGGTGATAGAAATTTATGCATTGATTCTCTGTTGAAACAGACTGAATCTTATTACTTAAGATATACACCACGAACTCATGTTTGTACTTCAAACATGGAATCACATAAATGTTATCTTAATCAATATTTTCTGAAAGCAGATATCACAGAAAGTACCAAGATATTCCAATACTAGACTATCAATCTCTTCTTACTGCTTACAAATAATAATCCTTTAAAACTTTAGAGCACTTTTTCTAATTTTCCAGAAGCTTCCCAGATAAAGTAGAAAAGAAACAGCAATATCACACATTAACACTGTTGATAAAATGGGTTGATACAATAATTTTTCTCAGTAACTAGAAAATATATTGCAACCCAAATCATACATTCATATTTAGAATGGTAAAACCTCCCCTCATGTTCCAAAAGTTTTGGTGTCGGCCATAGGACGTAAAGTATTTACACATTCTAATGAAGATTTTACTCTTATTTTTAAAGTTAGTATGTGGAGATAATTTTATGAGATCTTAAAACTTTTAAAAATAGCAAACAACACCTCAAATCAGTTCACACTTTTGTATTAGTTATGCAATAACTACAGATTTCCAAAAGGTATCTATATCACAAATTGTATACAAGTAACTATCTCATGATCTGGTGTGTACATAATTCAACTTGTCAATAGTTAAATTTAATGAAGAATCTAACTTACCGGTGGATCAGCCCCCTTAGAACCAGTCAGCCCTCCTGTTAGGGATTCGATATCCTGAAAAGGGGAGAGGTGTTGATTGTAAAATGCTACTCAACAGCATGGAGAATTTCCCAAACCCATAGTATAATATTTTCTTTAGCTACTAAGTTAGGGCACACAGCTACATTTGTTTTCTTTGTTTTGTTTTCAGACAGTCTTGCACACTGTAACACTATACAAATAACCTGTATCTAAAAATCTAGATATTTCCTCTAATTCTGCACACTCTGTAAAAAGAAAAAAAAATATATACATAGACAAGTCTTGAAATATGAAAAAAAAAGGTTAGGCTCTAGGTAGAAAAGCAAATGTTTTGTTCTCTAAGGTGTTGAAATGAGGACAGAACAAAAAAAAAAAGCAATTTTAACAAAACTGCAATTTAACATATTATTTGCAAGAATACAAATCCCATGGAAAACGCTGAACCTATAAAAATTTTAATTATGTATAGTCTATTACTGTACTTGGAAGATAAAAATATTTTTAAAAGAGACTAGCTATTCTTCTACAAGGACTGATTTCGAATCTTGAATCAGTAACCGCAGAAGATCACGCCTGAGTAATGATTATATTGTCAAAGGTATCATAAACGGAGAAATAGGTGACTGCGACAAACTGGAGAGCATGTGCCTGTTTATAGGTACGAATACAGCTCCACCTTGGTTGCAGGACTTTACTTCCAGGGTTACTAACCATGTGACTTTTTCAAAAGCTAGAATTCTGGATTTTTAACTAAAACCTCTCAGGATTTTAATGCTTGCAACCATCGTAGTTTTAAATCATACCCCAGTCCCCCCAGTGAAAAAACAAAACCAAAACTCTCTGCTCAAAGGGGGCTGGACAGGAGTCTGGGGCTCCACTGAAGAGTTATACTTCATAAAAAGTTTCTTGGTTGTGACCCTGGTCACTTATCTGTCTGCATCTAGTTGAAAGGATAGGGATAAGGAGAAATACAGTTGCAGTAAGAAATCAAAGATGAAAGAGAATGGAGTCAAGATTGAAGGAAGAGAAAATTAAATACCTGTGATCAGAGAAATAGCTGATTCCTTTATACCATTAAGAAGATTTATGCTACAAATTCATTCGTGACTTAATCACATTATTTCCCTAGTATCTCAAAAATAGGGAGTCCTAACAAAAACAAAACAAAACAAAAACAAGGGGCTGAAATAAGCATGTGATGACAACATTAGACAACATTAAAGGCAGGATAAGGGAGGAGAAAGGAATGGTGTGATGGAAGTTTCCATCAGAAGAAGCTGACTTTGAACAGGAACTCAATGGGCGATGAATTTCTACATGCATATTTTATCAAGGGCCATAAATGATAAGGCAACCACAAGGAATGCTTGCCAAGAAATTAAGTTGTCTTCACTGTAACAAATATATTGTATATCATATTTTTCCATAGTCAGCATCCCTTTGAGGAACTTCCTCTCCCTCACTCTAGCTCCAAAAGAGGCTTAGAAAGACTGCTTCCAATGAGATAGAAGTCTTACGGAAAATTAAGGCAATGTGGATTTAGAAAGATATAATGGTAGGGTTCAAGTCCTTGATTCTATCATTTGGGCCACATTTGAAACTACATGTTCTCCTGCCTGCAACTTTAAATTTCTGCCTCTCAAAAACAGGAAGATCCCAATTAATATGCCTGCATTGTTAAGTCTATTGTAAAAGGCTCTCCCTGTCTTGCTGAAGTTATTTCAGTACCATGTACACCATAAACAATCAAATCATTTAAATTATTTGATCTAACAAGTTTTTTAACGTTATCATTAAATCATTTAAGTAATCTTATGTCCTTAGATAATAAAAGTAAAGTATGAAACATTTATAAACTGGCAAACATTTTTAATCTAAAGGTAAAATATAACTTTTAAAACTGTTTTAGAATTTCATGGAATGAACTGACAAAATTAGGTAGTAAAGTAGCTAAAATACTAGATAAATAGAAAATAAAACACACAGCCATTGCACTGTTTATAAACACACCTGTTATGACCATGACAAAAAACAAAGTTCTATTCATATTAAAAGTTATTTCGGGGCGCCTGGGTGGCGCAGTCGGTTAAGCGTCCGGCTTCAGCCAGGTCACGATCTCGCGGTCCGTGAGTTCGAGCCCCGCATCAGGCTCTGGGCTGATGGCTAGGAGCCTGGAGCCTGTTTCCGATTCTGTGTCTCCCTCTCTCTCTGCCCCTCCCCCGTTCATGCTCTGTCTCTCTATGTCCCAAAAAAAAATAAAACGTTGAAAAAAAAAAATTAAAAAAAAAAAAAGTTATTTCTAAGTACATTTAAAATGAAAGAAAATAACGTTAAGTACATTTTGAGTTAATATATGCCTTTCTAAATAGACATACATATAAAGTACATTAAAGATAAACATTTCTGATGTCATTATCAGAGAGGTAACAGAGAAACTGATTCAGATTCAAAGTAGTTTAGCCATTTATTTAATGCATTGCCGTTTTTTAATTTTTTTTATTCTTTTTAATTTTTTTTAACATTTATTTATTTTTGGGAGAGAGAGAGAGAGAGAGACAGAGTGCAAGTGGGGTAGGGGTGGAGAGGGGGGAGACAAAGAATCTGAAGCAGGCTGCAGGCTCCGAGCTGTCAAGTAGAGCCCCATGCGGGGCTCAGACTCACGAACCGTGAGATCATGACCTGAGTGGAAGTCAGACACTTAACCAATTGAGCCACCCTGGCACCCCTGCATTGTCATGTTTTTTTTAATTATATCTGAAGATTTCTTGGTATCATAGATATGAAGATTTCTTGCTATCTTAGATAAACTGAGCAAATTTTCACATTTCTAAAATTTTAAGCCTTTCATGATAGTTATCATCTTCAGAAAAATTAAGCAAAAGAATTTAGAAGATGAATTCAAAGGCATTGGTATTTATGATTTTTAACATGTTGAATTAAAGCACACTAGGAACTCATGACTAAACAGAGTACAGATGCACATTCTTACTGTTTATTCATTTAATTGAAAAAATGATTTTTTGAGCTTATGTGCTATTTTGAGTATAAATTAGAAAAAAGTGTCCTACTTGGACAGATGCCAAAATTATAGTTTATCTATCAGTTGATGCAAAAATAAATGTTTCATGTATGAATAATGAGCATAAGTGTGCATGAATGCATTTATGTTGTAAAATTAAAAAGTGAGATAAATAAATCTTTTGAGGAACACTGAACTGAAAGTGAGTCCATTTTTTGATGGTTCTTGAATAGTTTGCAAAATATAACTTAAATCCTTAACAAATCCATCTATCTTGTTACTTAGATATCTTTCTATATAGGTAACAACAAAAGTACATCAAAAAGTAAAAAAACATTGATTTCCTAGAAACTTTGTTAACTTACTATTATAATAATGTTGTTTGACTAAAACATTGAAAACAAACTGATTTTTAAAACTTGTTACAGGATTTATTTAACTATATTATGTACCATGTTCACTTAGATTTAATAGCTTCATTTACATCTAATAAAATATCTACTACTTAAATATTTATTACATACCATGTAAATGTTTTATAAACATTAACATTATTATAGCTTTATAAGGTACTTATTTCTTTTCTTATTTAAGAGGTTAAAAAGTTTATGTAACTTGGGGCGCCTGGGTAGCTCAGTTGATTGAGCATCTGACTTCGGTTCTGGCCATGATCTCATGGTCCGTGGGTTCAAACCCTGTGTCAGGGTCTGTGCTGACAGCTTAGAGCCTGGAGCCTGCTTCAAATTCTGTGTCTCCTTTCCTCTCTGCCCCTCTCTTGCTCTCTCTCTCTCTCTCTCTAAGAATAAACATTAAAATTTTTTTTTAAGTTTATATAACTTACCCAATATCATATAGCTATCAGGAAGTGGTGTTACAAACATATTTGCAGGACTGCAAACCTGTGTTTTTTAATACCAGCCATAGGGAAATAGCTTTACCCTTGCATTCTGGTTACCTTGAACATATCCACATGGGCCATGTAGGCAGAGTTAAACAACAGGCTGGCCTAATTCTTACTGGAATGTCCTGCCAGCCTTCTGAGAACATAACAAGGTAGGCAGTCTTAGAAAGAGCTTCCATACAGCTGTTTCTCATTTGCCTCTCTGGCACCAATGAGGCAGGGAACTTTCCACCTCATTCTTCCGCAACCTAGATCCACCTGCGAGCTGTAAAACTGCTTAGATGCACTATGGAATTTGCTACTCGCCGTTGCCTCTTCCTCGTACTATTGCTGTCATCTGGTCCACCCAATTTAGTGTTGTCCTGTGGGACAAGAGACCAGGCCAGGAAGAGTGAGGTAACTGATACGTCTAGGGCACACAATTTAAGGAGGCATTCGTTCCAAGGGTCATACAAGTACTGACCTGACCTGCAGGTGCAGGATCCTGGCAGTGAGTGCCTCCTTAAATTTTATCCTTTAGGCACCTGATTCTTACAGGTGCCTACAAGAGCAGCGTTGGCATCTGTACAATCCTAGGAGTCAGTGACTCCTCAAAGTTTGTGCCCTAAGCACCCCACCTGTCTCACCAAGTCCTGACCCTCTGAGGGATATGGAGACAGCTAACACCATGGTGACCTTGGTCATGCTGTGTATGCAACAGACTCTTGCAATACATTTGACTTGTTTCCCGGTTGAACTTATAAAAATATGCCAAGCCAGCCTAGTGCCTGCCCACATGCTGCTGCTCAGGTACCATTGCTGCTAAACACCTGTATTACATCGCCTCCACCATATGTGTTGCTATCATCTGCTGACTAGGATCCTTCACTATACAAACAATTTTATCTCTTAACATGATTTTAGATCATGAAAGTTTCACTTGTCCTGCAAGGTGTCAAATACCTAAGAGACATTATTAGTCAGTCCTTGACACAAGCCATGTAAAGGCAGCCTCGTCTAATGCAGGAGAGCTCTGCTCCTAGGTCAGCCAAGGCTGGCTTATGAATCAGAAGTCTCAAGTCTTGGGAAGGTTGAGCTGCAAGAGCAGCAATTAGTGTCAGGGCTCCAAGAAGT